TAATTAATTAATTAATTTTTTGGAGAGAGAGAGAGAGAGAGAGTGTGTGTGTTTTTAATATTTATTTTTTAGTTTTCAGTGGACACAACATCTTTGTTTGTATGTGGTGCTGAGGATCGAACCTGGGCCGCACGCATGCCAGGCGAGCGCGCTACCGCTTGAGCCACATCCCCAGCCCAGGAAGAAGTTTTTAACTACAATGTGACATGATACCCCTTGACCAGAAAATGAACCACATCCGTGGGAAGCAGTCCCTTCAGGGTCCATAATGAAGCCCTGACTGTCCTGCTCCTCCAGGCCAGGACTCTAGGTAGCAAGGCTCTAGGTAGCACGGGGACCACGGGTACTGTGCAGGTCCGAGGATCACTCACTAGTTGAGCACCTCTGTGCATCAGGCGTGGCCTCAGTTCTTGAGAAGCTCCGGGGAAAATGGAGGGTGGAAAAGATAGACAAGTCACATTTGCAATGTTTCTAGAACTGAGGACTTTTGTGCCCCGAGAGGCAACCTGAGTGGCTCTCTTAGCTGTGCAAGCAGAGGGCAGTGAGCAATTGGTTTGGGGTGTTATTTTGAGTCCTAGAGAAAGCTGGCTCAACATCTGGTCACTTAGGAATCGAGTGGGTCAACCGCATGGGAAACCTCTGGGAGGTAAGGGACAGATGTCACAGTACCAGGGAGACCAAGGCTGGGAGGCAGGAAAGCCTAACAAGGACCTTGAAGTCTAGTTACACTTGTCAAGGGAGAGAGCCTTGAGGTCCTACACCCTGTGCAGTAGAATAAGATCCCGGAGCCCAGGCTGCTGAGTGACAGCCTCCCGGCCGTGAGAAGTCACAGCAGAGGCAAAGGGGAATGAATGGTCTGCAAGCCTCCTCCCTGTTGCCTCCGAAATCTCGGCATGAGGGGGACTCCCAGCCACTACACCCACTACTCACGGACGCTGGCCTCCTTGCCCATTAGGTGTACCTCCAGAATATCTGGACCAGAAGTCAGTCAGACCCGGATGCAAATTCCAGTTCTTGTACTTCCTGGCCGAGTGACTTTAGAACGTCTCACCAGGTTGACCAAAGTGCCCAGTGTCAAGGTTTCCACACATTTAGTCCTTCAACATGCATTTAGTGTGGCCCTCCTTTCCCAGAAACTGCACATGCTGTAGTGAGAAGACCGTCGGGGTCCTGCCTTCATTCCATTCTGGTTGGAGAAGACAGGCTAAAGGGTTAGCAAACACATAGACTAACACCCTAGAGAGATACTAAACTAACACTAGAAGACTCCTTTAACCAAGGACGGGAAGTCCTCTCTAAAATGGTGACATCTAAGCTGACCTGCAAGATGAGAAAAAGCCAGGCAAGTAAACCGACAAGGACACAGCCCATGAAGAGAGCCTGTGGCAAGAATGAGCTTAGTGCTTTGGGGGAACAGGCCATATGGTGTGGACAGGTTGGGTAGAGGCCAGATGGGCAGGGCTCTATAAACCTCCTGCCTTAGCCTCCCAAATAGCTGGGACTCCAGGTGTCATCCCGCCCTGTGACATTGATTGGTACATGAAAGCCGTTACGGATTAAAGAAAGGGCTGGGGACATTGCTCAGTGATACAATGCTTGCTTCACATGCACAAGGCCCTGAGTTCCAATCCCAGAAGAAGGAAAGTAGGGACAGGGAGATGGCTTGAAGCGTTTCTACGGGGACTGTTGGAGGTAGAGCTAGTCCGACTTAGGATTTGGAGAAAGAGGGATGGACAAGACTTGAGCACTGAGGCGGGTGTGACCCCGGGAAGTCGGAGGCAGGGCTGACCCTCAGGAGTTCAATTTGGGTCGAGTCATGTTTGCAGTCCCTATCTGACACCCACGTGGAAGCGTGGAATGAATAGGCACCTGGCTGCGAGTTTGGGACTCAAAGAAGGTGTTGGAACTCTGGAAACATAAATCTGGGAGTCAGGCACACAAGTTACCTTTGCAACCACGGGACTGGATGATATCATCCGGGCAGAGGGTGTAGTTCGAAAGAAAGAGGCCGGGACCGTCGACTGTAAAATGAAGCAAACGACACCTCCACCCACGAGTCTCTCCGGAGGTGTCACATGAACGTATCCCTGGGTCCTGGGAACAAGGGCCCAGAACACAGGCTGCGCCGGACCGCG